GAATTCTGAGGAAATTTTGGGAAATTTTGGGAAATTTTTATACACTTCTACCCGAGCTCGTGCGAATAAAAAGACTCAGCAGAACTTCCCAAAAAATTTCCCGAAAATTTTTTATATTGTCACAATCACACGTCCTCGAGCATGTGCCAATTTTCCCACATGGCTCATTCTGATAGGGTGAGGTTTAATTTTACTTTTCGTTTCAGCTGTTGAATAAACTCACGGTCGCATTGGAGTTTTACCCGCTTTACGTGAAGTGGCGTCGTAATACTCTGTGAAAAACGCGATATTCGCGGTGATATGCAGTAGTCGTGAAATATGTTTTTCATATCACTAGGGTGAAACTCCATTTCATATATATCACGTTTGTTATATTATTGTTGCCATTTGAAACGATTGTTTTTTGGTCTTTACTGTGGAGTGATTTTAATTGCCGAACTTTTCAGATTGGGTTCGACAGCGCTCGCCTTTGACAGCCCCGCGTCCCTGGGTGCTCTCCTGTCTGAAGTTGCTAAACCTGCATTTGAATGCCAAGGCTTGGCAGCAGCGAGAGACGCCGCTTGCTTTATCACTTGGGCGGTCGCAAGGGGGGTCTGCGACAGGGAGGTTGTTAGGAAGAATCTGGATATGATTTTGAGGCTTCTGGTGAGACATTTTTGGCGCATCCTATCGAAAGTATTACCTCGTGTTGATTGTGGAAGTTTGAGCAGTAATTACTGCTTGTGAGATTTGCGGTGTTATGACTCAACCCTCGAAAAGGAGTCTGTAATTTTAAAACAATTAGTATAACAGTCTGTGCTAAGTCATATATCAATTGTGGTGGGATAGCACAAGGAAAGAAGATCTTGCTTTGGATAATCGACAGAATTATGGTATTAGTCTGAAATTTTGGACTGAAGAAACAGTGATGATATTCGTATTATGTAGTGAGCTAGGACAGAGTAGCTGAGGATGTATCTAATGGAGTTTCACCTGTTTTACGTGAAGTGGCGTCGTAAAACTCTGTGAAAAACGCGATATTCGCGGTGATATGCAGTAGTCGTGAAATATGTTTTTCATATCACTAGGGTGGTAAAACTTCAATGTACAATTCATTGTACACGGTCAAAGGAAGAGCCATGCACAAGATTGCGCGCGCCTTTACTAGATGAAAATGCATGCTACTACTCTACAGCTGATGATGGTTGTCTCATCGTCGGCTCCAACTTTAGTGTTTAGCCTAGTTAAGGGACAGCTGATTGTGTGGAGTATCGCTACTGGGAATGAAGTCCGTCAATCCACTATCTGTCAGATCTGCTCGTCTCTGCTGGATCCGAATATTATTGTTCGGCGAGCGGCCTCAGCAGCGGCTCAAGAGATCGTCGGTAGATTAGGATGTATGAGTGCTGATGATCCTGGTTTCCTGTTTGTGAATTTGGTCGACTACTGGACTGTTGCAAATCGAGTTCATGCGGCTACTACTCTTCTGGGTGAAGTTGCAAGTATGTTAGGTGGCAAACACATGCATGGAATCGCGATATAATGGAGTTTCACGTTTGATATTTCACAGTTCTTTTTGTGGAAAAATATATAACGAGTGAATAACGCGTAAAACGCGTGAAATGTGCTACGTGGAGGGGAATATTCAATTCACTTGATATCACGGTTTTCGCGTGGAACAGGTGAAACTCCAATATATGAGTTTATGGGAACTAATATATGTACATGGTCAACTACATGTGTTGATGACAATACGAGAAGTGTGAGAAAATTAGAGTTGGTTGCTTTACACTTTTACTCGAATTCATGTCTGAGAGTTCAGCTGAGGGAAGCGAAAATACATTCGAAAATTCGAAGAAATTTTGGAAATTTTCGTTTTAGAAATATGAAACACCTGAGCGAAGATATGTTACTCCAGCACTACCGTGAATGAGTGATCTCATTTCAGGCAAGCTCTTGAGAAGCGATCCTAACTTGGTGTCTTTTGTGTTGGAACATCTCTACCGTTTACATCTACGGTGAGGGGAACTATGGGTCAGTTTCGTGCGTACGAGGATTTACTCGGTTGGGAAATTTGGAATCGATTATGGAATTTTTCACTCGGACGATTATGCGGCTCTGAGATTGAATCTGGGGTCGCTGAATAAACCGATCAGAATCGCTTCTCATACGTATGCTAGAATCGAACTCTGAATTCCAGAATTCATTTAATGCAAATGGGTGAGTTACTCTCTCGTGGGGCGAGCGCTTAATTTTATGGCGAGTGACGATGTTATCGCTTTGGCAGGAGTACCGACAAGAGAACTAGAGAGCTGGCAGCACGGAGTGTAGGCGCGCTGGTGCCCTTCGTGGATGATAGTCATCTTAGTGAGGTAACGAGAAAAATGTCATCTGTGGGATTTGAACCCGGGACCTCCTCAGTTTATAGCGGACAAGCTCTTACCGGCGTGCCTGGAGGAGACGACAACTCATCCGACGATTTTTCGTCATGGAGCATTGTTGGGTGTCTCGGAGGTCGTGGTGGCGTGTGAGGACCTGGTGAGGATTGGGAAATGTACACGCATGCAGTTATTCGTTGGAGATTAGTACAGCTTTCACTGAGTTACTAGTAAATAAACATATATTGATTTATCCATACCTGATATTGTCTTATTGTACAATATTAAATTTATATTTAATATATCCCTATTTAACATTATATGCCTAAGATTTGAGAAAATACCGAAAAAGGAAAAAATTGGGAAAATACACTCCAAAATAGTTGGAAATATGTTCCTCTCTTGATGACGGTTTCATTGGAAACTACTTGACTAAAGAGTTGGAGAAAATTAGGGAAATGCTAGTTATAATATATGGACATCAACTTTGATGTGATACGAATACTACTATCGGTCCGGGAGAATATGCACATGGTCAACTACATGTGTTGATTATATGCATATCAAATTGCCACGCACTCCACGGTGGAGTTTCACCCGTTTTATGTAAAGTGGCGTAATACTCTGTGAAAAACGTATTCATCAAGTTTATTTTCCACTAGTGTTTTTCATATCACGGGTGAAACTCCAATATTACCATTTCTAAAGATGTATAATGTCAAATTCATTGACTAGTTCAACGCAACGAAAGTATAGTAATATTTGCATTTGTTACGGTATGGGAAAATATGCACATGGTCAGCTATGTGTGTTGGCGAGAGTATAAAAATTTGAAGAAATTTTGGGAAAATGTTGTTGGTTTCTGTACACTTCGTATGCAAACTCCTGAACTCAGCAGAGGAAAGCGAACATATGTTCCTCCTCCAACACCGTTGCGAAATTATTCCCAAACCCGGAAAAATTTACCCATTTTATTACATCACTATCATCGTTCTTAATTCCTTTCCCGAGGGCCGCTTTGCTATCAGCCGAACTGAGTTCTTCCGTAGTATCCTGTAACGGGTGTGGCTCAGATCAACAGGGACGAATCACGCAGCGGGAAGATTTTGGATACTAACACGGCGACTTTGATACGGAACATTGTTCCCAAGCTGGAGAAAGCTCGACTGTATAGAGGGAGAGGAGGGGAGATGATTAGAGCAGCGGCGTGTTCGTTGATGCAGGCCGTTTTTTATGTGGGTGAAATGGTCCGAAATAATCGTTGACACGCGTGTTAATTAGGCACGAAGTTGCATTCCATTGAAACCGAATACAATCCCTCGGTACATCCAAAGCATTAACTCGAGCATACGTCACTTTACCGCTGCGGTAATGTCGATGAAATTACACAAGAAAAACCGCTTCGCTCCGCCGTTTTTTCAGGTCCAAATTGCTGCTGCAGAAGCATTGATGACCCTGGTTGCGTGCCGACCCAGTGAAGTTACTTCTGATGAAATCGGGAAAATTGAAAAAGAGTATATTGAAAAACTTGAGGTTGCTGATGAAAATGTGGCGGCGCGACGAGGCTATGTTTTGGCGTTAGCATTAATAACGAGAGCTCGAAAGACTCCTCCTGAGGATCCTGTGGTATCACTTTTCGTGAGGGAAGCGAATGCATGGCCGCATCATCCGATTTCGAAGGACCTTGTTGATGCTGAAACGCGACGCTGGGCAGTATTAGGACTACTCGGCGTGGTTCAGAGTGAAGTTGTTGTGGATGCTGTCGTGGAGACTTTGATACGATGTATGGTTGTTGATTATGCTACGGATAGTAGAGGAGATGTCGGGCGATGGGTACGAGAAGGTTCGGTTCGAGGTGTCTCGGAAGTTCTTGCGGGAAGGTCTATGAAAGCGTTTGTTGTTGATAGCAGTCTGGCTGCACTGATCTCGGCGAGTGTGAGTAGATTGGACCATGTTAGAGTTGTTGCTATTAGTGGTATAGAAGACATTATTGTTGGGCGAGGCTGTCGGGGGGGAGAGCCGTTCGAGAAGGTGAGGGTATGTTCGATGTCTCTTGAGGAAGATACGGAATAGGTCCGATAGCTGATCGTCTATAGCGCGCAGAAGTTTAATATGTAAATGTGGAGGATTTATTTTTCCCATGAATAACCTGGACGTGACGTTTATAGTGAAGGAACTGTCTTTTTCAGGGTCTCGAAAGGTTATTATTTTTTCACACTTGCGTATCAAATTGACACACACTGTATTCTTCTACACGGGTACTGAATGTATAGTGGTTGTTGCTCAGGTGTATGCGACAGTTCGGAAGAATTACGACGCTCCTCCTCGTATCGATTCACTCCAGCTGCCCTCGAATGCGGTCACCACGTTTGAGCTGAGATGGCCAGCACTATGGGGTGACGTATTGGAGCTCTACCGAGGGAAGGAGAAGATGAACGTATTTAGATCTGGGTTGATGTCGATGAGAAAATTCCCCGCGGTTCGTGATAAACTAGTGATACTCTCATCAGTGGTGTCGTCAGCAGCAGTCTTTCCCATGGAGTAGCACAGAAGCATCAGAGGCTCTCATAGCCTGCTGAAAGGAGACGAATATTTCGTGTGACTAGCGCAGTTACTGCTGATTTGCGGCGAAAATAATACTGTCGCTGTTTCCGACGAAAGCTGATCGTGATAGTCGTTTTCTATACCGTGGTGACTACGACGGAGCTGTGCTCGCAAGAGATCTATTGTGTGAATGAAAATGAAGTGAGCGAAATTGTGAAAGGAATTGTAGCTGAATTACGAGGATCTCGAAGTGTTGCTAAGCTGCGAGAATGTGCCGTGTGCCTTTCTACGGTGTATTTTGGTATACTCCCTGTATCGACTGAGACGAAGACTGAAATAGAACTCGCGCTGTTCGGTCGTCTTTTGTGTCATGAGTTTCCGAAGATTCGTCATGCAACAGCAAAGACGATTTATGAGAAATCTTTGCTGTGCGCGACGCGGAGGGATGAAGATATGTTTGATGTTATAATAGAAACTGACTGGACTGCAGATGAGGTGGTTTGGAAAGAAGTGCACTTGAAGATATGTGAGCGGATTGGTGTTGAAGCCGTGGTGGAGCAGGAAGCGGCGATGGTGAAAATGAGAGAACCGTACGTGTTTGGTTACGCTGATTTTGTGAGAGAAGAATATCGTTGAATTCGATAAATCATGATTTCGAGAAAAAATGAGTTGTTGAGTTTATTTTTACTCGAGCTAGACTTCGAGAGGGTGAAAGTGGAGGATGTTGTTGCATCGTTGTGATGTATTCACACAATTGTTGTCTCCTTCCTTGGTATGGATGGCGACCATGGGGTTAAGGATATTGGTATAACAATTGTATGGTTACATCACAATCGTTTCCGCCCCGTAGCACACAATGTGTCTCTCTCGGGTGGAGGAATCCCTTAGTCGAGCTTATGATAGTGTACACAGGTTAAGACTGCATTGTAACTTACAATTTGGTTTCAGATCCCTACCCGAGTGCCTTACAATTTGTAAGGCGTTCTCCTGCAATTATATGCAGTGTGGTGTTATCTGAAATAACTAATACATCCGGCTCTTCTTGGCGTGTTGTTCCTATGGGAGAGTGGAAACACGATATCAACGGTTGGATCAATGAACATCAAATGGAACAAGTGGTTTTTGACTCATCATAGAGTAGTCTGGCGAGGAAGACAAGTATCACAAGAAGCTGAAACTAGCAGAGGCACTTGTGTAAAGCATTTCCTCACACGAAGGAATATGAAGTTCTCATGTGCTCGTGTTTACTATTACACTGGACTTTTATAACCCTAGTGATATGAAAAACACTTGTTGAAAAGTGTCTCACGACTACTACAGGGCGCGAATATCGCGTTTTTCACCGAGTTTTAAGACGCCACTTCGCTTAAAACGGGGTCGTGAAACTCCAATGACGTGAGTATGAAGTATGAAAGCCTGTCGTTATATGGTAGTGGTTTCTCCATCACTGAAACTGTAATGCTCTTGAGAGCCGCTGTGCTCTTTCACTCTGCGAAGAACTCAATTCTCGGTGAGCAAGGTAAACGATACATTGAATATCACTGAGTGTAATTTGATTCACTGATTAATTAACATACTTTCAGATCGACAGGTTACTCTGAAACATGTGAAGATGTTCATCGTCAAGTTTTCCGGATATTTGGTCGTATTAAATTCACGACGTTTATGTGCAATGAAATTCGCATTCACTGAACCTGAGTCGCGGCCTCTCATAGAGTGGAATCTACTTGTAGCTTTGGAGTTTCACGACTACCCGTTTTACGTGAAGTGGCGTCGTAAAACTCGGTGGAAAACGCGGTATTCGCGGGAATATGCAGTAGTCGTGAAATATGTTTTTCACTAGTGTTTTTCATATCACTATGGTGAAACTCACACTGTTGGATAAACATTGAAATGATATTGTGACCTCATTTCTGTGGTTTATTTCACATGTAACCATCTGAAAACCGGCTCGATTGTATTACATACACGATGGAGTTTCACCCTAGTGATATGAAAAACACATTTCACGACTACTGCATATCACCGCGAATATCGGTTTTTCCAGGGAGTATTTCCACTTCCCGTGGAGCGGGTGAAACTCCAACGAAGTGGATATTGTTTCTCATCCGAGACGTAAACGTTTATTCAGATTCGACAGCAAACGTCGTTCAGGAAGAAAATGTGGCCGCCCATTTGAAGGCGAGAATTTTGAATCCCCCAGTTCAAATTTTGCCCATCGGAGATCCCATCGCGACCATAACTGCAGTGTAAGGCACTCCAGTGTGCAGGGAATGAGTGCACCTCCTCGTAGTTATGATGTTGATACTGACGACTGGGAGAGCACAAAGGAAGATATCACGAGTCGACTCGCAGTCGCACTCGACCGGGGAGGTGAATCTTTTTTGATATTCTTTCGTAATTTTTTCGTATTTTTACGATATTTTACCTTATTTTATCGATATTTCTTTGACATTCTTTCGTATTTCTTACGAAATTTTCACGATATTTTATGGCACATATAATATGTAAACACTGTCAAGGTTCAATCGATGACGCCCAGAAGATCTTATCGTTCGACAGAGTCATGGATCTGTACATGGGCGGTTCGTGTGAAGAGTAAGTTTATTGCGTTTATGAAGGCCACGATTGTGTGTTCAGATTCTACCAGCGTTTTCCGGATGGAAGTATGAGACATTTTGGTGACAACTTTAACTTGGCGATTTCAGTTCCGAGTGGTATGGCAACTGCAAGAGCTCTTTCTGATGATGATATTCCCACCACGACATTGTGGGATATCGCTGTTTCTGGTAGGCTGACTTTTATGATTGGAAAAAATCGTTATATTTGTTCACTATAGTGGAGTTTTACGCGAAGTGGCGTCGTAAAACTCTGTGAAAAACGCGATATTCGCGGTGATATGCAGCAATTGTGAAATATGTTTTTCACTAGTGTTTTTCATATCGCTAGGGTGAAACTTCAGTGTTACCAATATAGCGATTCATTCAGTTTAGTTCACCACTATTTACCACTACAGTGATTCTATGTTCTTGTCACTATAGTGACTGGGGAAACATATAGGAGATCCACAACAGACTGTTGCTGGTATAACAAGAACTAGCAAGGTTAAATTCACTCTAGTCGAATGCTACCATAAAGTCGCTCTCGACAGAGTTGATCGAACGAACTTCATGGGAAACTACGAAGCATTTTCAGACTATGAATACGAAAAAATAATATGATATTCCTTTTCGAAGCAAACTCGAAATTTACAATTTTGATGTGACTCAGACTGGAATTCT